TATCTTGGAATTCCCTTTTCCCTCCTGCAGTTGATCCTCCTGGTGGGCGCCCTCGCGGCTCTGGCCTCCGCCGTCCCCCGTCCCGACTCTCCTCCCGTCTACCACGCTCCTCACCCGACCTACAAGCAGCCAGGAATGCCCTTCGACTTCAGCTACGCCGTCAGGGACCCCTACTCGGGCAACGACTACGCCCACGCCCAGACCAGCGACGGTCACGTCACCTCCGGATCCTACAGCGTGGCTCTTCCCGACGGCCGAACCGAGATCGTCGAATTCACCGCCGATCGACAACGGCTACGTCGCCAACGTCGCCTACGAGGGAGAGGCCTCGTACCCCGCCCCCGCCCCCTACCATCCCCCTCCATCCTACCACGCCCCCGCCCCCTCCTACCCTCCTCCTCCTCCCCACCCACATGCATAAGACCCTTCCATCCTCAAGGCACAGGCGGCTCTGCCAAAAGCTCCTTGCTCACCAAATATCCGACGCCAAAGGAAGACTTTTCAAGCCCAAGCATCATTAAATTCACGCCAAAGGCACAAGGCAGAACCAGGGTGCTTCCTGTGCTTCAGCCTCATTACCTCCACATGGAAATTCATTGCAACATTGCTGACTCGTCCTGTTCATGTTTTCACAAGCGAGTCGTCTTCTAGTCGCTGTAATTTACTCTTGTCAATAAAGGTTACTCGATAAAACATTTTTTATACGAATTTCCTTCTCTCTTTGCCTCTCTGAAAGCCCTTTGTTACTTTCGTCCATTCCTTTTTACTGAGATTCTGTCAATGGCCTCTCGCGTGGCTGGACGTCCGCTTCGAGCATCGACAAAGACGTGTTTTGCTTTTCCTTTTTTTGTCTCTCTCTCACCAAGAACTATCGTCGCAATTTCTCATTAATTTTTATCCTCGCCGGTGCTGCTTGCACTTGCTGATCGCTGAGAATCCAGCTGTAGGATAAGATGTTCTCACATTATTAATGATTGCAATAAATAGCATCATTATCATCACTATTGGTATTATCATCATCATAATCATTGCCTTCGTTATTAGTTCAATTACTACAAATATTGCCATTCTTCCCTCACAGAAAAATGACGTTAGTGTTGTGTGACGCTAGTTCGGACAGTACTGTGGCTGAGGACTTTGTGACAAACTGGGTGGCTTTCAGACCATGAGATATCAATATATATATATATATATATATATATATATATATATATATATATATATATATATATATATATATATAATGAGGCTGAGCAGATAAGAACAAAATTGAAATGATATTCCCCCTCAAACCAAAACAAATTAAACGGGAAGAATGAAACAAGCTCTTTTACGCTGGCAGAACCCCGCGAACAGCTGGATAGTTTTAAGAGCGGGGAAAACGAGTACTTTATTTCTATAATGATGTAGAATAACAAAAATTATTCACTAAAACGCCGCTTCCCACTTGACGGAGGACGAGTCGCTCGCCACAAGCACTCGCGTCGTCGCTCCGCAGCTGTTCTCTGGCGACGGAATCGGAACAGGGATCAAAGCCTTCTTGAAAGTGCTTGGAATCTCTTACTCTCGCTTTCCATCTCTCCTTTTTTCCTTCTTATTCTTCTTTCCCTAGTCTCCTTGTTCTTTATTTCTCCTTCTTGTTCTTCTTTCCTCAGTCTCCTTGTTCTCCTTCTTTCTTTCCTTAGTCTCCTTGTTATTTTCTCCTTGTTCTTCTTTCCTTATTCTCCTTTTCTCTTTCCTTATTCTCCTTGTTCTTCTTTGCTTAGTCTCCGTCTAGTTCTTTTTTCTCCTTCCTTTCTTCTTTTCTTAGTCTCCTTTCCTCGCCTTCCTGTTCACCTGCTCTCCCTTTTCGTCCCCTTCTCCTTGCTCTTTTTCTACTTCATATCTAGTCACTGTTATCGTTGCTATTGTTATTATTACTAACATGAATGCTATAATTGCCTTTATCATCACAAGTATTATATCCTTCATCATTATCAATATCATAATCGATCTTACCATCATTCAAGAATATTGTCAATATTATCATTATTAGTAGGAGCAATGATTAATCTTGTGAGAAGTGCTCATGGTATTACTCTTATCGGTATCAGAGGTATGTCTGCTATTCTATTGCCATAAATCTTTTCATTAATTCATTATCGCGTGAATATAACCATCTTTATCGCATTTTTTCTTATTTCATAATATAAATTCCTACAATATAAGCATCACATATCTGTTGCTAATATAATTTTTGCTTAAATTGTTTGCCATCAATTTGCTTTGCAGCCCATTGGTCGTAGCAATGACGTCACAACCTCCATTCTAGAAATGAGTATAAAAGGGGCTTCCTCCTTCAGCCGAGCATCACAGCTCACTCAGCTTCTCTGCGACCAACATGTCTGTAAAAGTGAGTAGCTTTCGAGATTTTTTTATTTTTCAGGCTTTCGAGCTAGTAAACTGTCCTTCTCTTTCCCTCCATCAGTCCCTCCTTTTCTCCATGCCCCCTTTTTAGTTCCCTTATTCCATATTCTTCTACATAATGTTATGTCTTTGAAATGCCATCAATTGATCTATCATCAACTAAGAGACCATCTGTGATGTAGTGACAGGTCGCACTCTGCCAGAAGCACTAAGTACATTGCATTATTTCTTCAAGGTTCTTGTCCATTCAAAAAGGTTTCAGCTTCTGTAATATATATATGTATATATATATATATATATATATATATATATATATATATTATATATATATTATATATATATATATATTACCTGAATATTGGAGTACTTTCCTCTAAAGATCCCTGCTTCCATGTAATGGACTCTTCGTCCTCATCCTTGTTCTTCACTTGACTGGAATCCCCTGCTCCCTCCTGCAGCTCGTCCTCCTGGCCGCCCTCGCGGCTCTGGCCTCCGCCGTCCCCCGTCCCGACTCTCCTCCGTCTACCACGCTCCTCACCCGACCTACAAGCAGCCAGGAATGCCCTTCGACTTCAGCTACGCCGTCAAGGACCCCTACTCGGGCAACGACTACGCCCACGCCCAGACCAGCGACGGTCACGTCACCTCCGGATCCTACAGCGTGGCTCTTCCCGACGGCCGAACCGAGATCGTCGAATTCACCGCCGATCACGACAACGGCTACGTCGCCAACGTCGCCTACGAAGGAGAGGCCTCGTACCCGCCCCCGCCCCCTACCATCCCCTCCTCCTACCACGCCCCCGCCCCCTCCTACCCTCCTCCTCCTCCCCACCCACATGCATAAGACCCTTCCATCCTCAAGGCACAGGCGGCTCTGCCAAAAGCTCCTTGCTCACCAAATATCCGACGCCAAAGGAAGACTTTTCAAGCCCAAGCATCATTAAATTCACGCCAAAGGCACAAGGCAGAACCAGGGTGCTTCCTGTGCTTCAGCCTCATCACCTCCACATGGAAATTCATTGCAACATTGCTGACTCGTCCTGTTCATGTTTTCACAAGCGAGTCGTCTTCTAGTCGCTGTAATTTACTCTTGTCAATAAAGGTTACTCGATAAACATTTTTTATACGAATTTCCTTCTCTTTGCCTCTTGAAAGCCCTTTGTTACTTTCGTCATTCCTTTTTACTGAGATTCTGTCAATGGCCTCTCGCGTGGCTGGACGTCCGCTTCGAGCATCGAGAAAGACGTGTTTTGCCTTTCCTTTTTTTTCTCACCAAGAACTATCGTCGCAATTTCTCATTAATTTTGAGTATTACAAGCCAACAAGCAGTTATCCTCGCCGGTGCTGCTTGCACTTGCTGATCGCTGAGAATCCAGCTGTAGGATAAGATGTTCTCACATTATTAATGATTGCAATAAATAGCATCATTATCATCACTATTGGTATTATCATCATCATAATCATTGCCTTCGTTATTAGTTCAATTACTACAAATATTGCCATTCTTCCCTCACAGAAAAATGACGTTAGTGTTGTGTGACGCTAGTTCGGACAGTACTGTGGCTGAGGACTTTGTGACAAACTGGGTGGCTTTCAGACCATGAGACATCAATACATATATATATATATATATATATATATAATATATATATATATATATAATATATATATATATATATATATATATATATATAAGGAGGCTGAGCACATAAGACAAACAAAATTGAAATAACGTTCCCCCTCAAACCAAAACAAATAAAACGGGAAGAACGAAACTAGCTCTTTCACGCTGGCAGAGCCCCGCGAACATCTGGATGCCTTTAAGAGCGGGAAAGACGAGTACTTTATATATACAATGACCTAGAATACCAAAAATGATTCACTAAAACGCCGCTTCTCACTTGACGGAGGACTAGTTGCTTACTACAAACAGTTAGATAGTTTTAAGAGCAGGGAAAACGAGTACTTTATTTCTATAATGATTTAGAATAACAAAAATTATTCACTAAAACGCCGCTTCCCACTTGGCGGAGGACGAGTCGCTCGCCACAAGCACTCGCGTCGTCGCTCCGCAGCTGTTCTCTGGCGACGGAATCGGAACAGGGATCAAAGCCTTCTTGAAAGTGCTTGGAATCTCTTACTCTCGCTTTCCATCTCTCCTTTTTTTCCTTCTTATTCTCCTTTTCCTAGTCTCCTTGTTCTTTATTTCTCCTTCTTGTTCTTCTTTCCTCAGTCTCCTTGTTCTCCTTCTTTCTTTCTTTAGTCTCCTTTTTTTTCTCCTTGTTCTTCTTTCTTAGTCTCCTTGTTCTTCTTGCTTAGTCTCCGTCTAGTTCCTTTTCTCCTTCCTTCTTCTTTTCTTAGTCTCCTTTCCTCGCCTTCCTGTTCACCTGCTCTCCCTTTTCGTCCCCTTCTCCTTGCTCTTTTTCTACTTCATATCTAGTCACTGTTATCGTTGCTATTGTTATTATTACTAACATGAATGCTATAATTGCCTTTATCATCACAAGTATTATATCCTTCATCATTATCAACATCATAATCAATCTTACCATCATTCAAGAATATTGTCAATATTATCATTATTAGTAGGAGCA